GAGTGCCAAAGCTTTTTTTTTTTAAAAAAAAAGTCTTTAAAATATATTTTTATTGATTTCAGAGAGGAAGGGAGAGAAAAAGAAACATCAGTGATGAGAGAGAATCATTGATTGGCTGCCTCCTGCATGCCCCCTACTGGGGATCAAGCCCACAACTCAGGCATGTGCCTTTGACTGGAATCGAACCTAGGACCCTTCAGTCCGCAGGCTGACATTCTATCCACTGAGCCAAAATGGCTAGGGCGAGTGCCAAAGCTTTTAAAATAGAATATTTTATTACATATTCAAATAATTGTTGCTATTATTTGTGGTTCTTAAAAATCTAATATTAAAGAAGAAAATATTTCAAGTTGTATACCACAGAGTAGGATGACTAGAAGGACAATATTTCACCACAGTATGTAAATTATATGAGAGTGTGCAATACTGTTTTACAGGGACAATACCTGCGTTGTCAATATGATTTTAAAAGACCTAAGTTTATTTTTCTTTATTTGTAAATCTTACCATGATCATGTTTTTCAATTTGATTCACAAAATGGATAGTATATAGTGAATTGATTTAGTGAGTTCCCTGATTCTGTTATTCATAAAAATGAGAATTCAGGTCAGATATTTTTATATTTTAGTTGCCAGTGCCTGTGTTGTATTTTGTCATCAGCTTCAGTCCTCTCATGAGCAGACAGCATTCAGAAATTCAGGCCAGCGCTCAGCAAGAAGTAAGACTTGACTCAGGTCACAGGTACCAACCACAAGTAAGCCATGTTCAGACCAAACAGCCTGCCCAGCCTGAGAGGAAACGATAAGAGCAAGTGAATGAAAGCTTGTGCGAAGCAAGTAATCAAGTCAGGAAGCCTTGGACAGTGACAGGAATGTAGTGATGAGTGCCGGCTGCACATTCAGCTCTAAGTCCCCGCAAAAGGCGAAGAAATTAATAAAACACAAAGCACATGGATCAAAACAGGAGAGACTTGTCACCGAGTCTGAAGGCAGCCTTAAACGTTTCTTTGATGTCTCCTGGTGCAGCTGGAATATGACTCTCCTGACCCCAACTTGGAGAAAGTGACAGATTCAGATGCTGGTACACTTCTGTGCTTGCTTCTTATGCTGGAAACTTGAAATAAGAGAGTCAGTCGAGGTCATGGATATAAGCGCTTCGGAATGCTGAAGTGATCCAGCTCAGCCTTCTGCCTAACCAGCTGCCATTTAATGAAATCAAAATAATTTCTCTTTAGAGATCTTTCCCTTGTGATGACAGCTACGTGAACTTAGTTCCTTGATTTTTAAAGTCTGTATTCATTTTATAGCCAGCTTGACATATTCATCTTCTTGCAGTCTATGAAGTAATGCATACATTTTTATTAATCATATAATCATTACGTAAAAGATATGGGAGCCTAAAGATAATTTACTTCTCAATATTTTCACCACCAAGCACCTTGTATTATTGCCTCTCATGCATTCTCCAATTTTAAAGATATTAACTTATTGCCCTGGCTGGTTTGGCTCAGTGGATAGAGCATCGGCCTGTGAACTGAAGGTTCCTGGGTCCGATTCCGGCCATGGTCACATACCTTGGTCGCAGGTTCCTCTCCAGGCCCTGGTCGGGGCACATGCAGGAGGCAACCAACCAATGTGTTTCGCTCACATTGATATTTCTCTTTGTCTTTCCCTCTCTCTTCCACTCTCTCTAAAAATCAACTGAAAAATATCCTCAGGTGAGAATTAAAATAATAATAACAAAATAGAGATATTAGCTTATTAAAGTGATAGTTACTGCCTATGCCATATTCCTCTCTACTCCTCTGAATTTTCTTACTTTTTTGAACTGGAAAAATTTATTTCCCTGCATACAACACGAGAAGCCTTCTATGATGCAAAAGGCCTACTTTTTTGTAAATGGCCTAAATTTGTGGAAGGTACAATTTTTGATTTTTCAAGATGAACTATGCTGCATCTTTCTTAGGCTGTAGTCCTCACATGTTGTCTTTCCCAGAGTCACATCCATCTTCAAACAATGGACCAACCCCTATTGTTTGATGTTAGACCTGACCATCTTGTGCCAGTGAATATGGCTGTCTTGCTACTGTTTTGATATTTACAAAACAGATAATATACAGGAATCTAGTTTCTGTTATATTGTAGATGTGCAATATCAATATTCTGTTGCTTCACCCCACAAAGAACATTTTTAATGTAGCTTTCAGTGTAGCGTGGATAGCCTGTAGCATGTTTGCATTCAACATCAGTAATTCTGAATTAAATTCCTACTAAGATCATAGGCAAGTAATTAGTGGCAATTAGTTTTACAAAAAAAAAATCCTGCCCTACATTTATGGTTAAATTATAATATAATACATATACACATAGATGCCATATTGTGGACAAAGTAGACTGTGAGTCAGCTATTAACAGTTCTATTAGCACGTATGATTTTCATATTGGGCTATATTTTTATTCAAATGAAGTATTCCTAAGTATCTCCCTAGAATATTATAATGATAAAGAGATTATATTTTGTACATATTAAGCAGTAATAAAATCTTTTATAAGTAGAGGTAGATATAGATAGAATCTTAGCTGTTTAGTTTGAATATTAGAATATTAGCTTCTCTTATAGTTGCGTCCCTAAGTAGATTTTTCACTTAATCTTCAAGGCCTTGAAAAAGTTTTTTATTTTCTTTTCATCTTAAAAACACCTCCTGTTCAATGTAACTGAAATGTTGAATTGAGAATTGTTTAATTTTCAGTAAGTTTAATGTACATTTTTTTTTGAGAACAAAGTAAGCTTCTTACCCTGGGTAAGCCATCAAGAATGTAATTGTGAGCAGACATGGCACCTAAGTGCCAAGATGTGTTACTATTTATTTAGCCGATCCTCTTTTGTGGTACATTAAGTTATTTTGAGTTTTTGTTATTAAAATAACAATGCGTTAAAAGTCCTTGATATATTGCCCTAGAGCCCCGTGGTCGGCAAATTGCGGCTCGCGAGCCACATGCGGCTCTTTGGCTCCTTGAGTGTGGCTCTTCCTAAGCCTTAGGAGTACCCTAAATAAGTTAATAACAAGGTACCTACCTATATAGTTTAATTTTAAAAAATTTTGCTCTCAAAAGAAATTTCAATCGTTGTACTGTTGATATTTGGCTCTGTTGACTAATGAGTTTGCCGACCACTGCTTTGGCTCAGGGGATAGAGCATCAGCCTAGGGACTAAAGGGTCCCAGGTTCAATTCTAGTCAAGGGCACATGCCCTGGTTGTGAGCTTGATCTCCAGTAAGGGGCATGCAGGAGACAGTCCATCAATGATTCTCTCTAATCATTGATGTTTCTATCTCTCTCTCCCTCTCCCTTCCTCTCTGAAATCAATAAAAATGTATTTTAAAAAATTACTTGATACAAACATTTGATAATATTTCAACTTACTATTTTTAGAGATACCTAGGACTAGATTACAGAATTAAAATTATAAAGCTTTTTAAGGCTCTTTATTCCCCTAAGGAATTGTGTTAACTATATTCCCCTCAATAATATATGATAGAGTCCACATCACCAAAATGTAGATAGCAATGAAAATTAAAATTTTGATTCTAGGTTGAGTAGAAATATAATGGACCATGGTTAAAAATCACCCTAGATTCCCTAACCGGTTTGGCTCAGTGGATAGAGCATTAGCCTGCGGACTCAATGGTCCCAGGTTCGATTCCAGTCAAGGGCATGTACCTTGGTTGCGGGCACATCCCCAGTAGGGCATGTGCAGGAGGCAGCTGATGGATGTTTCTCTCTCATTGATGTCTCTAACTTTCTATCCCGCTCCCTTACTCTCTGTAAAAAATCAATAAAATATATTAAAAAATAAAAATCATCATTCTCCCCTTTAAAAAAAATCACCCTAGATTCACATCCCAGACCTACAATTTGGTACTAGAATAAGCTTGACAGCTCTTAATCCAGATCCTTCGTGCTTACAACAGGGTACCACCTTACACAAAGTTATTAAGAAGATTGAATAGAATAAAATGTAAAAAAGTCTTGTCATAAAAACATTTAATCAACATTTCATACTTCTGTGTGAGATTGGCATTAAAACCATGCAATAAATTATATATAGGACAAGAATTTTTAAATGATTACTTGATCATTAGTTTTTGATTACTGTTATGTATCTGATATATAGTCTGTGGATGGCAGATTCCATTACCAGTCAGGGCACCTGTGGAAGGAGGCTGATGGATGTCTCTCTCTCCCTCCTTCCCTCCCCTCTCTCCCTTCCTCTTTCTAAAATAAATTTTAAAAAGATTATGATTGATTGACATTTGCACTATGCCAAAGTTCTAGAGTGGACCCAGAGTAAGGTGCATATTTATATGTCTCCACAATTAAGCTATTTCAATGAAATGACACACTATATTGTCAATTTTCTGTTAATTGTTATTTCTTTTAACTGAGGTCTGGTGAAGGGGCCTAAAAATTGACAAGGCATCATAGTAATTCATTAACTTTCAAATTAACTGTTGACTAAATTAAGTCATCTCTTATTTAATAAAAACTGGAAATGACATTTTAGGAATCTGTTTCAAAATATTTTTCAGAGAAACTATATGATTAGGGCAAGATTTAAAAATATATAAGGTACTGATTTTGTTATTTTATACTAAAATCTCACTTTACAATACCTGTGGTTTGAGAAGCAGATTTCAAATGCGGGTAGCCATTAATTTACTGGTTAGATATTTTTTGTCAGAATATTAAAAGCAAACTTAACTCTGAGCATTGTTTCATATTTTGATAATTGTTCAACTTTGAATGCTCTTATATTAATATTAAAATTATTTGATGAAACAGTCAAATGACTTATATTCATGAGTTCTGATATCACATATTAAATATATGAAATTAGAATTGCTTTTTGTAGTCAAGTCATACTTGCTATTGTTTATAGTAAGTAAGTGATTATCTTAATGAAAAGCAGTATAAATTGGTTATGTTCTATTGCTTTATAGATGCTCCCAAGTTCATATCAAACCAAACAATTTATTATTCTTGGGAAGGAAATCCGATCAACATAAGCTGTGATGTGAAATCTAATCCGCCAGCATCAGTCCACTGGAGAAGAGAGAAATTAGTCCTGCCAGCTAAAAACACTACTAATTTAAAGACATATAGTACAGGAAGAAAGATGATATTAGAGGTAAGTCTTCATGGACATATCAAAATTATACTATTTTAGTCATTACCTATTATTTTAGAATATGTTTAAAGATCTTAATATATAAATATACTACCATATGTTTATGTTACAGAATGCATATAAAACCTATATCTATTTACTGAAAGGGAAACTTTATGCATTTGGATTATGGCCCATTAATGATTAACATTCACTATTTATATAGAAATATGAGTGTATAGCAAAAGTCATTATTTCTCATTAATTTCTTTTTGCAAAATAAAAACGATTATATCATGACAAATAGGGAGGTGATTTGTCAGCTCTTGAGGCACAAATTACAATTTCAGTGTTTATCCTAGTCATCGCTTCTGTGGGGACACTTCCTTCTCCTTAGACTGGCATACATACATGCAATGCGCTCGCTATATATTCACTAGTTCCTCAATAATCCAGATTTACTTACTTAATGCCTCATTTCATTTTATTTTTACAATTAAGATGGTAGATAATTGTTTTGTGCTGCCAAGTGCATGGCCTTTAAATTCTGTCTGAATACAATACCTTTTATTTACTAATTGCAGATTGTGCGTGCACTAATTTCCGAAGTTTATATGCCTATGACAGTGATCACCAACCCTTCCAATTTATGATGCTTTCAGAACAGTTGGGAATGTTCTTCAATACAACAGTCTTATTTAGCTGAACAGATGCTACATTTCCCACTAATTCAATTTACATCACTCCATTCCCCTTTTCTTTCCAACTTGAGCCTGAGGCACTGTTCCTTTGACAACCTGGTGTTCCTTGGCTCCTGGGGAGTCACCATATTGATGACGAACTTACTGCAGACATTAGGTTGACATAGTGAACTACTTTTTAAAAATCTATGTTTTAGAATAACATCTGATAATCCATACTGCATGAACTTAAAGATATTCTCATTGGACCCATATAAACTCCACTACCTGGCAATTGGACTTAGGCAAAAGTTTGGTTGATAAAAGGATTTAGCCATCACTTTCCCAAACATTTGGATAATTGACTGATAGCTAAATCACTTTGTCTAAATCAATTTAAATTGGTTTCTTTGTATTAGAACTAGCTACTGGCAGGTTGACATGGAACTCAATTTCACAAAACATTTAGTCAGATTTTACCTAAATTTTAGGAATTTAACCATAACTAAAAACCGATGTATTTAACTGCTTTGGGGCAATATATTAGTGTGCTCTGGCTGCCAAAACCAAAGATCACAGACGTGGTTGCTTAAACAAAAGAAACTTTTATTTTCACCCCCACACATTTCTGGAGAATAGAAGTTTGAGATCAAGGTGACAGAATCAATGGTTTATGGTGGAACCTCTTACCTTGGTTGGCATATTGTGCCCTATGGCTGTGTATCCATCTGGCCTTTCATATTCAGTAGACATTCTTTCCTATGGAATTTACAAATAACGTTCTCATATACCTATAGAATAAAGACATTTTTTAGCCAAATTCCCTCTTCATTAGTAAAGTTATTTGAGTTAAATTAGCCTGGTTCATTAAAAACTAAATGTAAGAAAAATGAATATTTAATCAGTTAAGAGTACTTATTTGAGAGCCGTTAAAACTTCTAGTCTTAAGCCTTTGCTCTATTCCTAGATGGACAGCTAACTAGAGAATGAACAACACAACTTTTTTGTATCTTTCAAAATTACCAACTTCAGTGGACCTCAAAATTGACTATTTAGTTAATAGCCTCCCATTACCACAAAATCATTTTCCCCCTTGTGGGATAGAGTTGAAATTAACGTCAACTCTTGTAATCATTTTCTCTCTTAATAATACTTACTGGGATTGAAAATTTTATCAATTACTATAATCGAATCTCTTTTCTGAAGTAGTCCTTCAGAATTTCGGTACATCAGAATTATAAGGTTGTTCCCAATGTTCAGTAATAGAGTCCCAGAAGGTTAATTAAATTATGGATTTCAAATGTGTAAGGATTGCGGTCATCTATGTTCTACCTAAAATGAAAGAGAATGATAGGAATTGAACAGAAATGGAGGCAAGATAACCTGTTATTAGATATCAAAATAATCTACCTCTCTACAGGAATTACCACACAAGGGGAGTGCTTTCCTACAAAATACCTTTCAGTAAAGTATTTTCTAGGAATGAATCTCCATCCTTCATTGATATTTTATGTTAAGTAATATCATAAGAAGGAGAAATATGACATATTTTGAGCCTTTCTTGAACTTTAAATCTGCCTGATCTTAGGCTAAAATAGAGTAAACAAAGAGTTAGTACTTTTGGTAAAAGTTTCTTGTGTGTTACAAGTTCACATCTGCAGTGATTGCAGAATATATGTTTTTCAAAGTCTACTTCTTTCTGAGCTTTACACATATAAATACCTAATGATTTTTTTCTATCAACAGATGTAACAAAATGGTGACATTAATTTACTTAATATATTGATAGATAAACTATTTTTGCCTGGTCCTATGGATAGTATAATTCCATGGATTACATCTTTAAAGGATTTATAGTACTTAGTATATTGATATTGACTTAATGTAGGAAAAAAGTTATGGCAAGGAACTCTGAATAATAAAATATATATGAAGATGCTAGACATGCTAGTCTATTTTAAAACTTCTGTGATATTGTTTTAAAACTGTAAAAATTGTATTATTATTATTTTAGATTGCACCTACATCTGACAATGACTTTGGACGCTATAATTGCACAGCCACAAATCGTATAGGAACGAGATTTCAAGAATATATTCTTGCTCTGGCTGGTAAGTATAGCATAATAACTTTTGAAATCTCATATAACATTTATGTAAGCAAATAGCATTTACATTTCAATAAGTTATGATTCAGGATTTTGTTCTAAAACATGAGGCGTTGCATAAAAATTTGGAATAGTTGTATCTGGCATACAGTGAGAACATAGAATGTATTTACTAATAAAAATTGACTTTACACCCTGATTCTAATTCCCTCAAATTTATAAGTGGGATAGGTATAAAAGAAATAGGAGACATATCTTAATAAATAATATTATATTTCAAGAATAGTGAGAATTTGGTAAAAAAATTTCAAAATAAAAGACACCTTAGAAAAAATTATCTAAAATTAATATATTTAAAAATTCTAAACTTGAAAGTGCAAATAGTAAACTTATTTTTATGGAAAATAGAAAATTTATGGTTATATAACTTTTTTTTAAAAAAGTCTTATTCTTTTTTATATAAAAACATTCTAGCTCTTCCCCTAAAACTTAAATATATAGAAGTAATAACATGGAGTAAAACTTATTTTAATTAGAAATCCAACTATATTTTCAGTTATTTATATTGTATATGTAATATAAATATACAAACACACTTATATATATTTATAGAATTTGCTGTTATGTTTTACAAGACTGATTAGAAATTTGGAAATATACATGTTTTCTATTTTTTGTAGCTCAAATGATACAAAAATGTGATTTATTGTATTCTAAGACTAGGTAGACAAATATTAGAAAATTACTGAAGTGTTATGTTTTAATATAATAAATAGCTTTCATAAAATATTTTAAAACCTTTTTTAAGTAGAGTTCTTATACATCACTATCATTGCATATTAAGTTATAAAATATATTTTTATTGCACATTCACAAAAGTAATATCATTAGTAGTAATGGCCAAAAGAGAAATTAAAGTTCATAATACTCAAATTATTATGTAACTAGAAAACCTGCAATTGTCCAATTTAAGGTCTACTACAATGAGAAAGAAGGAAGAGAAGAGATTGTGTGAAAAGGTTTTAGGGAAGAAAAGCCAAAAGGAAAAAAATTAAGATGAGAGTGAGTTAAGACAGAAGAAAGGAGGGACGAAGGAAAGAATAAATACAGTATATTTATTGTCTTCCATGAAGTTATTAGAAAATTAATCTCAATGGAAAATATGGGACAAAGACTGCACTTAAGCATATAAATGAACCATTATACAAGCAAATTAAATTCTAGAAAAATGAAATGTGTTGGATCAAAATTAATTGTTTTTATATTAATTAATGGGAAATAAGATATTTCACATATGTATTTGATAACCATTTTTAATATTAACTTTTTACAAAAATGTGAAGGACACGTACAGTTAGATATAGAGATACAGCAAAGGCAGATGCAACTCCTAGTTGATAATTTTAATTTCTAGGTAGGAAACATGCTTTCTTTTTTATTTAAGTATATATATTTGAGCAAATTAGAAATGTAGAACACATAAAGGTAAATTAAACTGCAACCATATAATTAATTGATTCCTTCCTTAAAGTTTTCTCCTTCCAGTAGATCAGGATCTGACAAAGCACTCTATATATTTATTTATATGTATATTTTTTAAGAAGATTTTCTTAAATGACTTTTACTCTAACTTCTAAACTTCATCAAATAATTTAATTCATTATCTTCTTAACTTTCTTCATTTATTTCATTAGTGTCATATTCACCTTTTAACTGTAAGCTTTTTGTATTGAACCTTAATACAATGATCTTACCTTCTTTGACACTTTTTCTGATAAATTCACCTCTTCATGCAGTTTTAGGGCAGCGCCTGGGCTGTAGGCTATCAACAGGCAGCACTTCTAGCACTGGGGAGAGAGCTCCTGACTGGAGGGGTGTCAGTGCCCCACCAGCCATTCCAAGGTCCACCTGATAAGACTGTTGTGAGGACTGAGTGAGAAGATGCATTCAAAGCACCAGCCTGTGGCATGTCCTCAACAGATGTCAGCAAGCCAAGTGATAGTTCACACTGGGCACTCTTCTTTGGGGTAGAAGTCAGTTTGTTGATGTCTCTTTAAATAGAATGCATAGAGCTAGACATTGTAGACCAATGCATACTGAAATTGGATAACGCTGTCATGACCTCAGTTATTCTGAACACTGTATAGCTGTTAAATATACAAAATTCCATTTCATTTCGTCACTTTTATTTTCCTTCTTGTGTTTTATCCTACACCTTTCCCACAAAAACTGCTATTAAGTGAAGTCTCCTATGCTATGCTTTGCAATTGATTTTTTAAAAACCTCAGTTCAGGACTTTATACTTAGCCCATTTAATCGCATCATGTCAGTTTGGGCTGATCTTTTTAACCTATAAGACCTTGTCAAATCCAATGATTTAGCGCTCTTTCCAAGATCGATTTAACTCACAAATATCACGAAGCATTCATCTGTAGTTTCACCTAAGTCATGTATAAGCCTATACAAGTCATTTTGAGAATGGAGACCTGCTTAGAGGTTAAGCTGGGTCAACTGAACAGAATTGTGCAGATATGGAATTATAGCTCATCTACTTGTCCTTGTCCCTAGACTGCATTTTATCCAGATACTTGTTCCATAAAATTTGGAAGCAGGTTAAACTTAATTAATTTGGAAACACTTTATCCAACTGAATGTGAAACCAGTTTTCTTTTACAGAATCGGCTTTATTGTTTAACTTGGAAAAGTCTATGTCTTGTTCTTTGTTCAGAAAATATATGACAAACTTTTGTGTCTTCAGAAACTATTTGTGTCATCCCCTTAATTTCCTAATACCCATGCTCCTCTGGGAAAAAAAAGAAACTAAGATAGCTAGACATTATTTTGAGGGAATCCATACCTTCATCAATTCCTAATTATCTGTTAATTCACTCACTCTACATATATAGAGTGAGTTTCTAGTAGGTGCCAGGCACTGTTCTAGATCTTAGAAATTCTGAAGATAAATAATATATGACACCTGATCTTCACAAATAAGAATATAAAAGAAAAGGGTTGCAATAGAAATATGAATCATATTCCTGGGGACACAAAAGGGAATTCTGGTTGGATTTCTTGGGAAAAGCTCCAAACCTGTATCAGCTTTTTTTCTTCCTTTCAATTTTATTCTGTATTTGTTTCAAGTATATAGCTCAGTGGCTAGACAATCATATATTTTACATAGCGTTCCCCTCATGAAAGGTATCAACTTTTGAGTTGAGTCTGAAAGAATGAGTAGAAACAGGTTTAGTGAAGAAAAAAAGGGAAGATGGAAAAAATCAAAGTGACTGTACAAATGAGCCATGCTGTGAAAAGAGGTGGGTGGTAAAAAATGAGGCACTTAATGGAGAACTGGGGAGTGATATTGTGGGAAGGGATTAGTGGTAGTGACATGAATAGAAGGGTAGTGAGAGATCAAATTATAGATCTTAAAACCATTCATCATGCTTACATTATTTTATATCAAGTATACAGCAAGGGAAGTTTGAAGTTTTTCATCATAAAGCAGCATGATCCGTTTATCATGAACAATTTTGGTAACATTATTTTTTACTTTACTTTTTTATAGTTTACATTTTTTCTTTATTGATGAAGGTATTACATATGTGTCCTAGTCCTCCTCTTCCCCCCACTCATGCCCCCACCCCCTGGTGTCTGTGTCCATTGGTTAGGCTTATATGCATGCATACAAGTCCTTTGGTTGATCTCTCCCCCTCACCCCCACCCTCCCCTACCTTCCCTCTGAGGTTTGACGGTCTGATCGATGCTTCTCTGTCTCTGGATCTGTTTTTGTTCATCAGTTTATGTTGTTCATTATATTCCACAGAAGACTGAGATCATGTTATATTTATCTTTCTCTGTCTGACTTATTTAGCTTAGCATAATGCTCTCCAGGTCCATCCATGCTGTTGCAAATTGTAGGAGTTCCTTCCTTTTTACAGCAGCATAATATTCCATTGTGTAGATGCACCACAGTTTTCTAATCCATTCATCTGCTGATGGGCACTTAGGCTGTTTCTAAATCTTAGCTATTGTAAATTGTGCTGCTATGAACATAGGGGTGCATATATCTTTTCTGATTGGTGTTTCTAGTTTCTTGGGATATATTTCTAGAAGTGGGATTACTGGGTCAGATGGGAGTTCCATTTTTAAATTTTTGGGGAATCTCCATACTGTTCTCCACAGTGGCTGCACCAGTCTGCATTCCCACTAGCAGTGCACAAGGGTTCCTTTTCCTCCTCATCCTCGCTACCACTTGTCATTTGTTGGTTTATTGATGATAACCATTCTGACAGGTGTGAGATGATACCTCATTGTTGTTTTCATTTGCATCTCTCGGATGATTATTGACTTCAGAGAGGAAAGGAGAGGGAGAGAAAGATAGAAACATCAATGATGAGAGAGAATCATTGATTGGCTGCTTCCTGCACATCCCACACTGGGGATCAAGCCTGCAACTAGGAATCGAATTGTGACCTCCTGGTTCATAGGTTGATGCTCAACCACTGAGCCATGCCAGCTGAGCTTTGGTAGCATTTTAGAGACTGATTTCAACATAGCCAATTTTTATGTTTTTCCACATAGCCGAAAATATATAAATGTAAACTCAAATATCCTAAAATAATCTTTGCTGTTTCAGAAAGGAGCTCTCTCCCCGGACTGGCCTTCTTCTTTAAACACTCTTCATATGAACCTTCTTCTCGCCCTAATATTTTCATTTTTATATCAATATTTATTTATACCCCAAACAATTTATTTTAATTTTATTTTTTAATTACAGTTTAAATTCAATATTATTTTGTATTAATTTCAGGTGTGCAGTATAGTGGCTAGACAAACCTATACTTTATAAACTGTCCCCCCAATATTTCCTGTACCCACCTGGTATCATACATACTTAATATAATATTATTGAATATACTCTCTATGTTGAGCTTTACATCCCCATGACTGTTTAGTAACTACCAATTTGTACTTCTCAATCCCTTCACCTTTTTCCAAGTCCTT